TGGGCCTGGGCGCTATCCCTCAGCTCTTCAGCTCAAGGCTAGCGCTCTACCACTTGAGCCACAGCGCCACTTCTGGCTTTTTTCTTTTTGCTTATGTGGTGCTGAGGAATCGAACCCGGGGCCTTGAGCATGCAAGGCAAGCACTCTACCACTGAGCCACCTTCCCAGCCCGTCCATGAACTTCAGAATCTTTGATATTATTGGTATACAAGTTGCTTGTCTTCCTGGTGAACTAGATTATCCTCACTAGGACTGGCCAACTTTAAACCTCCTGCTGAGAAGTAGTTACCGTGATCCTTTTTTTTGAATTTTAGATGTCATTCCATCCCTCATAAAGGAATCAAATTTTTTGCCCACAAATGAAATATTTAGTGCTGGTAGCCATTGCTCTGAACTTAGTACCCTGAGCATTTTTTAAACAAGATTCTTATGCATTTCTTTGTATGAAAGGTCACTGTTGCTGCTCTGAAGCATAGGCAGAGTTAGTGACTATCCTAGAGCCCACAAGCCACTATAGTATGGCCAGATTACAAATGGAGAGTCAGAAAGCTTGCTTAGGGATGTAGAATGAGTCCACATGACCTGTCCTGGGCCAACTTTTGTATAGGTCTGACTAGTAACATAAGGAAAGGGCATTTGCCAGAGGGCTAGATTCCTGACAGGCTACTTAGGCTGATGCAAGCACTGCTGCTATGGCTGATGGGGCTTGTATGACTGTTGAGTCTTGATTCTTCCTCCACCTTTCCTCTGTCCTACAGATGCAGGTTTATTTGCATACTCTGTGCTGATATTAGATTGAAAGCCTCTCATTGTTTTTTAGCTCAGTGTTTAGATAACACACATGTCTGAGGCTTCCAGGGCAGCCTGTAAAGGAAATGCCTGGGCTCTAATAGCTCTGTCGTTTATTCTCCATATGGGAGTGAGTATGGCTTGTATTCAGGACCATGATAAGAACATTTCTTTTCAGGGATTGATTTGGGGACTATAGGAGTACTGTGCTTTTCCTTGATGTCTAAGAGTTCTAGGGATAGTGGTTTTGTTTTTTTTTTTGTCTTTTCTCTCTCTTCTCTTTCATTCTACTCATAAGAGGATTATAAGCTGTTTTACCCAAGCCTTGTTTTTACATGTATCTGTAATACCAAACAGCATTCTTCCCTTTAGTAATAGACTGGCTTGAGAGGGTGGGAGGCACAGGGCTGACTGTGGTTGGTATTTGTATAGGCTGTTTTTGTGACCTCCCTAGGTTGGCAGCTGCACCTGTACTTCTGTGTTGGGTTTTTTTTGCCCCTCCTCCCTACCCTGTCCACCCCGCCCGGTTGTGGGGCCTGAACTCTGGGCCAGGGCGCTGTCCCTCAGCTCTTCAGCTCAAGGCTAGTGCTCTACCACTCGAGCCACAGTGCTACTTCCCGCTTTTTCTGCTTATGTGGTGCTGAGGAATCAAACCCAGGGCTTCATGCATGCAAGGCAAGCACTGAGCCACCTTTCCAAGGGATATTTCCTTCCTTGTTTCTTAATTTGTCCCATTACTTTCTTTACGGAAGGAAGTTTACAAAAAGGAAAAGAAAGAGGAAATGAAAAGAAAAATTATCTTTTCTAATAAAATGTAATTCTTTAAGCTTTTACTTGGTAACATGCGATTAAAACTTCTTCCTTGCTGAGCACTGGTAGGTTATACCTGTGATCCTAGTGACTTATGGATCTGAGATCTGAGGAACAGGGTTTGAAGCCAACTGGGGCAGGAAAGTCCCTGGGACTCTTATCTCCAGTTAACCACACAAAAAAAGAGCCACAAGTGGAGCTGTGGCTCAAGGAGTAGAACACCAGCCTTCAAAAACAGTATCTTCTAAGCTCTAATTTAGGTTTCCTGAGGACTTTTCCAGGTCTTGTGATTTCTTGAATTTATAAACTTTTTTCCTCTGGGGTCATTTCCTTTCCATGACAGCATTACCTGTGTGAGACAGTAAATGATTGGTTCTGCCAGGAACTCTTTTTTTGTAATAACCCTGACATATACAGCTAACTTCACTTTCTTTCTTACCAGTAACTTTGTGTTCCAAGAACTGAACCGAAAACGAGAGAAGTTGGTTATAGCATGGGTAGTCAGCACTCATCCTTCTATAATATAGGGTCTGGGCACTTAAGGGTCTTGACTTCGAGAAAGATAAAATGGAGACAGCTTTTAAAAAAAAATAAATGTGACTTGTGCAATTGTTTGTGGCTATCCTAGTTAACTGTCATATTGAAATTATCTTCTGTGTCATTGAAAAAAATCATTAAGGACCATATTGTGGAAACTATAGCAGAATACTAGGTGAATCAGAATGTATCACTCCCTAAGCAAATGAAATCATATGTATTCGCCAAAGTTCATTTCAAAACTAACTAAACTTGGGAATTATAGAGGTAAGCAAGTCATCTTCACTTTTCCTTATATATTTTTTGCATATTATTATTATTTTGTTGGTTGTTAGGCTTGAACTCAGGGCCTGGGTGCTGTCTCTTAGCTTTTTTACTCAAGGCTAGTGTGCTATCACTCTGAACCACAGATTCACTTCCAGTTTTCTGGTGATAAATTGGAGATGAGGGAATCATGGCTTTGAACTACAATCATCAGATCTCAGTCTTCTTAGTAGCTAGGATTATAGATGTGAGCCACCAATACCTGGCTGCATTTAATTTTTTTTTTTTTTTTTTTTTTGGAGGGGTCCAGTCGTGGGGCCTAAACTCTGGGCCTGGGCACTGTCCCTCAGCTCTTCAGCTCAAGGCTAGCGCTCTACCACTTGAGCCACAGCGCCACTTCCGGCTTTTTTTTTCTTTTTGCTTATGTGGTGCTGAGGAATCGAACCTAGGGCCTCAGGCATGCAAGGCAAGCACTCTACCACTGAGCCACCTTCCCAGCCCTGCATTTAATTTTTTTTAACTTAAATGTTTATCTTTAGTTATGGAATACAACTTTTTAAATTTTTTAAAAAATATATTTTATTATTGTAAAAATACTATACAGAGGGGTTGCAGTTACATGAGTAAGGTAATGAGTACATTTCCTGTAGAGCATTGTTACCTCCTCCTTTGTTTTTCCCCTATCATCCCTTTCCTCCCCATCTCCTCAACTCCTCCCCTCCCCCCGCAAAGTTGTAAAGTTGTTTTCAACATAGTGTCTTGTACATCTCATTGTTACAATGGTTCAACCTGTATCCTTATTTCCTCATTTTGTTATTTCCCTTCCCCTCCCCAAATTAGAAAAATGTATATACAAGATTCAGGGCACCGGAATCAAATACAGTGACAACAGAGGTTATACCATGGGAGAAGAACATACAAAAGAAACAGACAGGGGCTAGGAAGATAGCTCAGTGGTAGAGTGCTTGCCTTGCATGCATGAGGCCCTGGGTTCGATTCCTTAGCACCACATAAGCAGAAAAGCCAGACATGGCACTGTGGCTCAAGTGGTAGATTGCTAGCCTTGAGCTGAAGAGCTGAGGGACAGCGCCCAGGCCCAGATGTCAAGCCCTGTGACTGACGAAAAAAAAAAAACAAACAAAAATCACATGGTACATTATAAATACATTAAAAACACCAGCAAGAAAGATAAAAAAACACTTGTCCCTATCTTGGGGTTCATTTCACTTAGCATCATCTTATATGGTCATATGGATTACAACTTATTTTAATCAATAGATTAATAATTTTAAAAAGTGCTTGGTATATTTAAGTAATTTTGTGTGTATATGTGTGTGTTGGCTTGAACTTAGGGCTTGAACTTTGCTCAACGCTAGTGCTCTACCATTTGAGCAAGTGGCTCCTGTCTATAATCCCAGCTACTCAGCAGGCTGAGATCTGAGGATCATGGTTCAAAGCCAGCCCAGGCAGGAAAGTCCATGAGATTCTTATCTCCAATTAACCATAAAAACCCAGAGATTGAGCTATGGCTCCAGTGATAGAAGTACCCCTTCAGTAGAAACACACTAGGACAGCACCTAGGCTATGAGTTCAAGCCCCAGGACTGGCATAACAAAAAAAAATCTGAGTCTAGAATGAACAATCAAGTGTCTATTGTTCTCCCTCTGATGTTTCTATTTCTAATACAAAAAATAAGTATATTGCTTAAATGCCATCTATGATTGGCTAGTAGATGATGACTTAGAATTCTGACAAATGTCTGTAGTTATGTACTTAGCTTAAGTAACAAAGTAGCTAATGATTTTGGTTTGATTCTTTTTTCAGTGTTTTTTTTTTAAATATCCTTTTCTTGAAAATTTACTGGAAATTTACCTTTGGAGATTTTAAGGACTTCATATTTTAAATAATTTGCATTAATATAACCAAGGAACCATCCTTACCCTAATTATTATCTTCTAACAAATCTTACTGATACGTTACATACTCAGTGGGGAAAAAAGAGAAACCAGTGTCTTGCTAATGCATAGTATTCTCAGTGTGTGTGTGTGTGTGTGTGTGTGTGTGTGTGTGTGTGTGTGTGTGTGTGTGTGTGTGTGTGTGTGTGTGTGTGTGTGTGTGTGTGTGTGTGTGTGTGTGTGTGTGTGTGTGTGTGTGTGTGTGTGTGTGTGTGTGTGTGTGTCCTAGGGGCTTAAATGAACTGAGGTCCTCACATTGTTCTGCTTTTTTGTTCATGACTACAACTCTACCACTTGAGCCATATCTCCACTTCCAGCTTTTTGCTGGTTAATTTTTTTGCTGGTTAATTGGAGATAAGAATCTCTTGAATTTTTTTGCCCAGGGTTAATTTTAGCATCAATTTCAGGATCTCAGTCACCTGAGCCGCTAGGATTATAGGTGTGAACCGCCAGCACCCAGTGACGTATTCTCATTTTTAGACCCATCAACTGTGGCAAATTTTGTCTTATGATAGAAATACCCAGTTATAATGCACAAGCCTAACAGAACATCTTGGACATGTAAAGGATAGTAAATTCATTGTGTTTTGTAAATCCTTGTCTAATCTGTCCATGTTTCCTCCCTGTGCTTTTTCTACCTTCCAGTTCTCTCCTGCGCTATGGTGGCAACCTATCTCTCCAAAGTGCCATGAGTGTGCGATTCAACAGCAATGGGACCCAGCTCCTGGCCCTACGGCGGCGCCTGCCCCCTGTGCTCTATGACATCCACTCTCGCCTGCCGGTGTTCCAGTTTGACAATCAGGGTTACTTCAACTCGTGCACTATGAAAAGTTGTTGTTTTGCAGGAGATCGTGACCAGGTTAGTACTTCCTGCTCCCTAGATCCTTACATCTCTCTGTACTGGTCTTTTCAGTACCATGTCAAGTAGAAATAATTGAGGAGAAACAAGTCTTAAGACCTTCTGAACTCAGTGTTTGTTTCTTTCTCGGTCTCTGTCTTTACAGTCTCTGCCTCCCCCCACCCCCCCCCTCCCACCCCCGGTGGTCCTGGGATTTGAACTTGGCTTGATGATTGCTAGGCAGGTACTTTACTACTTGAGTCATGCTCTTAGCCCCATTGTGAGTTTCTTTGTCCAAATTGCCAGTGGGTGCATATAAGGTACTTATAAATCAAGGCTGACTACTATGTGGTTTGGTTGTTTTTGTTTTTGTTATTTTTTTACAACCCAGTGCCACTGCATTTGTGAATGGATATTTAGTATTCTATGAACATGCCATTTCCAAAGAAAGAGAGCCATGAAAATTAGCCTGCCAGTGAAAGACAGTTTGTCATTTTTCATATCAAGCATAGCAGTGAAACAGACTAAATAGCATCTAAGGAGACATGTACATAGGGGGGCTGGTTACAAGATGACATCTTTTCCTTGGAAGAAATGAGCTGAGCAGCTTTGTTTGATAGAGAGCCAGATGCTAACTCTTTTTGTTTTTACTACTAGCATCATAACTGGGACTATAGAGTTCTAGCTGTGAATTCCCAGCCTTTTCTTAGTGTCACTGGAAATGGAGATACTGAAGTTGATTTAAAGCTGGTAGTTTAAAATATACTTGGTATTCTTGAACTTGTCTTGGCCTTAAAAGTTCTAAAGTCATGGGGCCTGAACTCTGGGCCTGGGCACTGTACCTCAGCTGTTCAGCTCAAGGCTAGCACTCTACCACTTGAGCCACAGCGCCACTTCCGTCTTTTTCTGCTTATTTGGTGCTGAGGAATTGAACCCAGGGCCTCATGCATGCGAGGCAAACACTCTACCACTGAGCCACCTTCCCAGCCCAGTTCTAAAGTTTTATATCAATGGTTGGTTGAACTGGTCTTAGTAAATGATCTAAGTAAAGATAATATAGAGAAAGACTGATCAAGTAAACAAATAGATTTTTCTTTTCTTTTTAAAGATAATGAATCTTTATTTTGGGGGGGGGAGGGCTGGTCATAGGGCCTGAACTCTGGGCCTGGGCACTGTCCCTCAGCTCTTAAGCTCAAGGCTAGCCCTCTACCACTTGAGCCACAGCACTCCGGCTTTTTTTCTTTTTGCTTATGTGGTGCTGGGGAATCGAACCCAGGGCCTCATGCATGCAAGGCAAGGACTCTACCATTGAGCCACCTTCCCAGCCCCAAGATAATGAATCTTAATGCTAGTCCTTATTCCTAGTCCTTGTTTTCATCAGCAAGATGTTTTCTCACCTTTGGGCTCATCACCTATGTCAAATTTGATACGTCATTTTCATAGGCTATATAGAGTTGTTTATGGGCAAGAGACATAAAGGAAACGGTTTGAGAACTTTCCAACACTCTGCTTTTACAGTTAGAAGTTAGGATTTTTCTCCCTGAGTTGCTAGAGGTTCCCTAATATTGTAGTTTAAAGATTAGTGAATACAGTAAGTACGGAATAAATATTTGTTTAACTGATTCGCATGTTGGTAGATGAGAATTTTCTTTTTAAGATTTGCAAGATAGAAACTTCTTCTTCTTCCTTTTTTTTTTTTTTTTTGCCAGTCATGGGGCTTGAATTCTGGGCCTGAGTGCTGTCCCTCAGCTCTTCAGCTCAAGGCTAGCACTCTACCCCTTGAGCCACAGCACCACTTCTGGCTTTTTTCTGCTTATGTGGTGCTGAGAAGTCGAACCCAGGACCTCATGCATGCAAGGCAAGCACTGTACCATTGAGCCACTTCCCAGCCTCGAAACTTCCTTTTTATGGATAGAAAACAAATATCCAAATTCAAGATTCAGATTTAAGTTGGAATTCTAGGGCTTACTTAGCTGAAATCCATATTGGAGACCATTAAATGGCCTTGTTAAAGTGTCTCCCTGAGGGGGCCAAGGAGTCTGAATTACTTAGTTATTATTGACCTATTTGATTGTTTCTTGGGTGGGAAGAATCAAGTTCTAGAGAGGAGATGAACCCCCAAAAATAATTTAGTTATTAAATAGAATGGCTGCTATATCTTTTAATAGCTATGGAAATGGCAACTAAGTTGCTTTTTCCCCCTTCATTCTTCTTTATTTTGTTTGTTTGATGGTCCTGGGAATTGAACTCAAGGCCTGGGCTCTGTCCCGAGCTTCTGTTGTTCAAGGACAGTGTTCTACCACTTGAGCCACAGCTATACTTCAAGCATTTTTGGCAGTTAATTTGAGGTAAGAGTCTTACAGACTCTCCTACCCTGGCTGGCTTTAAACTTCAGTCTTCAAGATCTCAGCCTCTTGAATAGTTAGGATTGCAGGTATGAGCCACTGGCATTTGGCTATTCTTTTTTTCCCTCATCTTTTGCTAACCTGTTATGCATGTGATTCTTTTTTTTTTTTTTTTTTGGGTCCGGTCGTGGGGCCTGAACTCTGGGCCTGGGCGCTGTCCCTCAGCTCTTCAACTCAAGGCTAGCACTCTACCACTTAAGCCACAGCTCCACTTCCGGCTTTTTTCTTTCTGCTTATGTGGTGCTGAGGAATCGAACCCAGGGCCTCAGGCATACAAGGCAAGCGCTCTACCACTGAGCCACCTTCCCAGCCCCTGCATGTGATTCTTATTTTACTATTAAAGAACATTCATTAAATATAATAGGCAGAATGAAAGGTGAAAGAGATAAAGGAGAATGGATATTGATATTATATTTTCTCAGGCTATATAGTAGCAGTCAAATACTGTCTTCATGAAGTTCCTAAAATATTTAGGCAAAGGCCTATGAACAAAATGTAGAGTACATACACCATTGTTTTTCAGCCTTAGCATTGTCATTATTTTGGCTGGTGAGTTTGCTCTGTGGGATTGCCCTGTGCCTTTTAGGATGAGTAATACTATCCCTTGCCTCTACCCATGAGATTGTCATTCTTAATTGCTTTCCCGGCAACCAAAATGTTTCCAGACATTGCCAGATATCTCCTGGGATAATACTGCCCCTGGTTGAGAACCTTGGTCCAGAATAGAATTACCTGTCTTGCCTAGAAGCACTGGGGCAGATATTATCAGAGGCAGAGCTATGAAAGGAATAAATTGAAGACATAGTTGTTTTCATCTTGTAGGTTTTCTGTAATGATAAAAATATTGAGTGACGCCGGGCGCTGGTGGCTCACGCTTGTAATCCTACCTACTCAGGAGGCTGAGATCTGAGGATCGCAGTTCAAAGCCAACCCAGGCAGGAGAGACCATGAGACTCCTATCTCCAATAAACCACCAGAAAACCGGAAGTGGCGCTGTAGCTCAAGTGGTAGAGCGCTCGCCTTGAGCTGAAGAGCTGAGGGACAGCGCCCAGGCCCAGAGTTCAAGCCCCACGACCGACCAAAAAAAAAAAAAAAAATATTGAGTGACTTTTGATTTTTCTGTATTCAGAGTTTTGACTTTTGTCCTAAAGGAAGAATTTATAGGTATACTGTACTTGGATAAATGATACTGGCTTTCGGTTGCATTAAGTGGTTTTACTTAGATGATGGAGGATGCAAAAGATTATTTTTTTTTTAATTTTTATTTTTTGGGTCCGGTCCTGGGGCCTGAACTCTGGGCCTGGGCGCTGTCCCTCAGCTCTTTAGCTCAAGGCTAGCACTCTACCACTTGAGCCACAGCAACACTTTTGGCTTTTTTCTTTTTGCTTAAGTGGTGCTGAGGAATCAAACCCAGGGCCTCATGCATGCAAGGCAAGCGCTCTACCACTGAGCTACCTTCCCAGCCCACAAAAGATTATTGACTCTAGCTTTTGTACCAATCAGAATTACTCTTCAGTCTGTTCCTATCCTCCATAGAGATGATCAGATCTAATCAAGGAAATAAATAGTATAGAAATTTACATTTGGCCTTTCTGTTCACTCTATAGGGATTAAGAAATATAGCTAATTTATAGTCATCTTGCCTATAAATTCTGGTACACAGTGAAAGCAATAAATACTTGTTGATGTGAGTCTTGATTCTTTAGTTCATCTGTGTGGTGTTTAGCATTCTGGGCCTAAATCTTCTCTAACTGTAAATTAAAATTGATCAATACCACTTTTCCTATCAACTTCCAAAGGTCTTTAGGTACATAAATTGAATAATGGATTACAGTGAAACTAATTCACTGAGCTTAGAGTTCTAAGGGTTACACAAAAAGCCAGATTTACTGTCTCAGTCCTGGAACATGTTTTTTGAAAGTGATTTATGGGCTCTGATTTTCCACACTCAGGGCTACAGCAGCAGTTGCCACAGTTCAGTATGATCTATGCAATGTACATATTTTTTTATCTAGTCCAGATAGGAATTTTTTTTATTGCTTTCATATTCTAAAACCTACCCTTTCTTTATATTGATATTTACTTGTTTATTTGAAACAGCATTTCACCATGTTGCCTCAAACTTCTGTCTTCCTGTATCAGCCTGCCAAATAGTTGAGCTTACAGGCATGATCTTTCTGTTCCACCTTGTTCCTCTGTGCTCTGAGAACATCCATCGCCTGAAACTCATTCTCTGTAAATTTTCATTTAGTCATAAACTGTGTAACCATCCCAGAGGAACTGAGAATATCCATAATAGGAATAAACATGGACAAAAGAAGAAGTGATCCCTTGGGGCTGGGAAGGTGGCTCAGTGGTAGAGCGCTTGCCTTGCGTGCATGAGGCCCTGGGTTTGATTCCTCAGCACCACATAAGCAAAAAGAAAAAAGCCGGAAGTGGCGCTGTGGCTCAAGTGGTAGAGTGCTAGCCTTGAGCTGAAGAGCTGAGGGACAGCGCCCAGGCCCAGAGTTCAGGCCCCACAACTGGACCAAAAAAAAAAAAAGAAGAAGAAGTGGTCCCATCCATCTAAGATAGTCTTCTGACTTTTAATTACAAAGTGATTAGTCAGGCCACACA